TACGCACCCGTACAGTATGCCCGGTCCCCCGGGGCCGTTTGCAGACCCCTCCTTCAACTCACCCCGCCGTGCAGTTGGGTCGACACGTGTGTAGGAAGTGCGGCCTCGGCTCTCCCACGAGCAGTTTCGCGAAATCCGTCACCAAGAGCACAAGGCCCAGCCCCAAGAGGTACTCGCGGTACCAGAAGGCCGTGAGGCGCGCGCCCACCTCCGACCGCGTCTTCGACGACTCTGTTGCGGCGAAGTCGTGCGGCCTTCGTCCCCAGGCCTCGACCAGCCACACCTGCGAGACAAACAGCACGGTAAGCAGCGTTGCGTCAGCGTTGCGCCGGCCGCGAGAGCAGCAACGCACCACCAGCAGAGGGGCGAGGGCCGTGGTCGCGAGCAGCGTCGTCAGGCTGACGGTGTCCCCGCGGAAGCGGAAGCTGATGGCGGGGTCGTCGCAGAAGAAGCCCGCCTTGGTGCTCGGGACGAGACCGCTCTCCGCCAGCGCCAGGAACGTCACCACTGCAACAGCGAGAGACGGCACGACGTGGCCCGTCGCCCCGTGCGAAGCGCCCGCAGGCGCGTGGGCGGAGGGCCACTCACCGAGGCTCGCCCGATTCTCGCCCGCATCTCGGAAGGCCGCCCACCGCCCACGTCGCGCGCGGCCTGGCGCAGCTGTGCGCTCGCTGCCCCCACGCCTCCGCCTCCCGGCCCGCCAGCTGCTCGCGCTAATGAAGACCGAGTGACGTCACGCGGCCGCGCCGCCAGGCGCGCTGAGTCGCGGGCGCGGGAGCGCAGCGCGGCGCGCGCCTAGCGGAGCCGCCCCGCCCCGCCCCCCCCCCCCACCCACCCCGCGCCCCGCGCACGGGCCCTGTCACTCCGCCCGCCCGCCCACCGCACAGCACGCGCGAATGTTGCCAGGAGCGTGAGAGAGAGGCGGATGGAGAAGCGGGTAAATTGAGCCCGCGCGGCCCCTCCCGACGCTCGTTGCCTCCACTTGTCGGCTCGTTGCTCTGCCCAAGGGACTGGATGCTGCGTCCGGGCTCGGCCAACGCCACAGCGCTCGCGTCGCCGTCGTCGTTGTTTCTTTCGATTCCCTCGAGAGGCGGCGGGCGCGCGCGGTGCGAGGTCGCCGGCGCGTACTCACCGGAGCAGCCGCACAGGGAGTCGACGAGGTGCGCCTCCAGGGCGAGCGCGCCGCGCAGCCATCGCGGGGCCGTCCGCTCGCGCGGCCGCGTCGACCCGTTGTGCCTCCGCCGCCCGGCCGCCTCTGCCGCCCGGCGCCCCGGCCCCCGAACCCCGGCGTTGTGGGGCGCCGCGCGCCCCGCCCCCGGCCGCCCCCAGGCCCCCGGCGCATAGCGGCGGACATGCTTATACGAAGATCTCCTCGTGTGTATTAATCGCAGGCCGCCCGTGCCGCGTTCGATGGCGCCCGCGCCTCAGCTCGCCGGAGGCAGCTCGGGTCGGGAGGCAGCGCAGCGTTGCGAACGGCCGCCAACAGAAGGACGGGCGAGGTCTCTCCAAAAGGATTCCTTTTTATTCGCATCTGTTTATTGATGCATCACAAGAAGTACACATTGCTCTGTGGTTTCACAGATGCGCTGTGCGGTTGCCTCGTGCACTGAGACATAAACACGGATAACTACTTCTTGCGGCTCATTTGAATATTCTACTAGGATAGACGAGAAATTCACTTTTCAGGCATGCAAATGCACTGTTTGAAAGCTGCAGTCCTATAGTTTTCATTCATCAGGTCGTACAGAGAGGATGACGTAATGTCACGAAACCCGGAGAGTTGGACATCTTTTTGTCGGTCCGCGAAGGTGATGTTGGGTGTGAAAATGTAATCTGACGTCAACCGGTCAAAGAACAAGGTCCCGAAAACAGATGTATAAGGAATGTCAATGCGAGGATTAAGATTGGAAGCAACGTGCACGCATTTGTTATAATGTTCGGAACACATGTTAACGTTTGGTATCAGAAGAAAAAGAAGGATCATATGTCCTTAGTCTGCATAAACAGCAGTTGCGTTTTATGAAAGACACATAGTAATGAAATCGCCCTCCCTCAATGATCAACAGATGTCTTGATACACACTGATTGAAATCTGGAGGAAAACTGGCCGACTCGTTGCAAAAATGGACGACGAAGATTTCATTCGATTTAGGAGATGCAAAATTATTAAATTCTGAAAAAAAAAAAAAAAAGACAAATACGATTCTGGATTATTCATTTTGATACTTCGCTGATGGGGATATATTTTAAAAATGTGAAGATGTAAAGATATGATGATGTTAATGAACGATAGTGATGAGAGTTGCATTGAGGATTTATTATTTGATTAATTGGGGATTTATTATTTGTACTGCTAATTGTGGATTTATTATTCGATTAGGGCATACCCGAGTAATGCCAAATTCAACGTATTCTTTTTCTTCTGCAAAGCTTCTATTACCGATGGGGTGAGTATTATCGTCTTGCCCAAGGTTTTTTCGGGTTCTAAATCAGTTTTGGTGATATTTTATCTCGGAGTGAAAGTTGAAAGAAATGTCTCTTAGCATGCAAATGAACTGTGAGACTTGCTCATTTAAATTTATCTACTCCGATTATTATAATCGGAAATGTGTTGGATGACTTGGTTAAAGATTGTACTTTCGTAATAATTTCGTGGCACACAAAAATTATTAACAACTCTATTGAGTGAGCAAACTATAAAATTAAAAATGGTTCACATATTCTTTCTTTCCATCTTCGGTTTCCTTTTCTAGAAAAACGTATCACCCATTGATATACAAGTTAAATACATTTGCAATAAGATATCGAATTTTTCTTGAAAACAACCAACATCTATATTGACGAAGCTGCCTTTTTAAACGAGTTGACGTTGAGAAATAGTAGTAATTAAAATCGTTCCACTGCCGCTGGTCTTGCACGGCGCGCGGTGCCGTCGTGCGCTGATAGCAAGTGGCAGGAAAAGGAACCACGAGCGACGCGGAAGAGGTGGGGTGGGGCTCGTCGCATGTTTTCAAAGATACCAAGTCCTGGTTGGGCGCAAAAGGACATCGCCTGTCAAGTACATGTTCAAGACCGGATGTTGGACTGACATGGCTGACCGGATGTTGAAGACGTGAGAAGATGGGGTTCATCACATACGTGACACTTCATCCTGTCAGAGAAGAATAGCTTATACTAGGGATGCAACATCCATATCGATGTTTTTATACGATCAAGGATGAATATATCATCCATTTTTTGAAGCCGATGTTTTTCAACATCGATGATTTGTGTTCGATGTTCTTACGTAGTCGATATATTTTAAAAAGTCCTCAATAAAATCTTATTATACTACATCAGCCAGATCCATTCGAGAATATCAATTTTGGAGAAAATCGGCTGAATAGTTTAGCCGCTAGCGTTGTTCACTGACGGAGGGACAGACACTCAATCGATTTTTCTGTATCCAGGACCCACAAAACATGGATTCTGGCTACAACACGTGTTAGCGGATTTCCCTCGTAAATTTAGCAATTGCATTTATCCCCTTTTCCATTTCCGGGGCCCTGCAATAAGAGTTTTTCAGCCGAAAAGTCTCCGTTTTTTCACGCAGCATTACAGCGTAAGTGGTGGCGAGAAAATCAAAATTAACAAACGAGACACTTTCAAGTTAAAAATCTCTCATTACTAATCCAGGTTTCAAAACCGACGGTTTTAGGTCAATATTTTATTAACGTTACTGATGTTTTAATTTTGAGCATCGACGTTTAGAAACGTCGATATTTTGTTGGCGAAGTCGCACACCCAGTATGTACTCGTCTTCGAAATACAAAGGCAGATCTTGTGACATCCAATAAATGATCAAGACTTACACAACAAATTTAGGGAGAATGTGAACAAGGTATTGGGATATTAAATATTGTTATATTGTGTATACGTTTTATTCTTGGTAAATGTTAGAATTACAGTGGTCTTGCTGCATATAATTTCCACTCATTTCTTAAAGAGTAGTACACTAAAAATTAAATATATAAAAGTTTACTAGAAGTAGCCTAATTCAGAATTGTAAGAAGATGAAGCCACCAAATTGTGTTACAAAATTTCTGTGAAAGCCAATTCAAACATCTGTAAATTGTAACATTACTTTACATAGAACATGAAATATATCATCGGAACATAAGAAAAATAACGTATTTCAAAAATTATCATTTACTAGTAAGACAAGTGTTTTAATCTAAGTGGAACGTTGATTGTGCAGCCAAAAAGTATTTTACTTTACCTACCTGAAGGTAATGTCGTGAATTGTCTTTTATTTTACTAAAAATATTCTAATTCCTATATGTATCTCTTCACTGAACTCAACATAGCCAATTTTTTAGATGTCTCGTTTGTTGTGCACTTTTCAATTACGTGTTGTATTCATTTGCACTTTTTTAAGAATCCTAATTATTAATTTCACTTTCTTATTCAACATTATTAAAAGAACTTTGTGCAAATATATATTCGTGAATTGAATGTAAGTATGTAAGTTAATGATAGAACGATTATCATTCCTACTTTTTGTTCTAAATGTACTGGCTAGTGAATTATATTAGATGGTTACAATAACTGAAATCTGCTTAAAGTTTCGTTTACCTAGATATTCAGAGCATAGTGAACAGTTTCTTAAACTTACAAAATAAATAGTAATTTTCTAAATAATCAAATATTTATAGGAATGAAAATTAATAGATCTTTCGTGGTAATCTACAAAGCGATGGGGAACAACGAATGCTAAGACAATAGTACTTGAATCACTTCTTGAACATTTTTTACTCTGTACACAATCAAACAACTTTGTAATTCACAAGAAATAATACGAAGAAATTGCCACTTCTTAACATGTTATTCCCGCAATACCTTCTTAATTTTATCTAATAATTGAAATTAGAAATGCGTTTAAAATTCGAAACAGTGCATGGCGTCAAAGATACGTAGCATAATACTGCTTTATGCGAGTGCCATCATATCCTAGAGTTTGATGGAAAGGATGCAACCATTTCAATGGAAGTCGGATCATCAAAAGAGAAACGTTCAGAATTAATCAAGCACGAATTCAAACACTAATTAAAATTGCATCAACCTGAAGGATCATTAGAAACCATCTCTAGTGGCGTTGAAAGGAATACGTTTTGCTATTACGTGCACCATTGGCCAATTGGTGCCGAGAGAGAGAGAGCCGGGCGCGTGGCGGCGGCTGGGCCTTGAGCCGGCGCTCCAGCAGCACCTGCAGGGCGGCGGCGACGGCGGCCGCCACCCAAATGGCGAGCGCGGGCAGCACGTCGCGCAGGGACAGCGCCCGCACGTTGCCATGCGGCGGCGCGCGCTCGCGCGGCCAGTAGCGCAGCTGGATGCGCTGCAGAACGCCCGCGCGCCGCAGCTGTTGAACCCTGCGGGCAACACGATACTTCCGGTCGCGCCACAAGGTGCGCTTCAGGCGGCGTTGGATGGAATATGCGGCGGAACTCAGCATGTACAGGAAGAATACGTAATTGTTTATATGAACACGGAAAATGAATTTAATTCCGCAAACAAGTTTGAAAGCTGAAAATAACTAACGACAAGCGGCTACAACAAAACTCCAGTGCTTCGTTCAATTTTTTCAACCTTGGAAATCACTACTTTTTTTTTTATTTTTATTTTTATTTTTTTTAAATTTCATTCTTATTCAACACGAAAGGAAAAATAAAGATATATGAACAAAACATTACATATAACATCAAATAACCGAGATGAATACTCCTGTTCATTGGTCACCACGTGCACTCTGTAGACCATTTCTGTGGGAATACCTCATAACACCACAAAGTCTGCGCTCAGCAGAGTATAAAAAGAAGAAGACTCTTGAGTATTACTTTTGTGAAGATACGTAGGTCTAAATTTGGACTTTGTTTTTGATCAACGTGATTTTAATGTGTGCAGGTGTGATGATAAAAATAATTTTTTTTGAATCATCGTCAAACACATCATAACACTGGTCAACAGTTAAATTGTTTCCGGCCTAAAGTAAATGGTATCCTCAGGTTTACTCATGCTAAATATTAATTATTTGCAAGTTAACTAAAGTCAAGTCAAACAATTAAGTTGGTACGAGTTTAGTAAAAGTCAGATTGAGTTCATGGTGTTGTTGGTACTACGAGTATGAATGCATTATCGACGTATATCTTTATAACAAAAAGGCAAATTAATTTTGGTTTATATAAAGTCAAAATTACTCACATTTAATTGTTAAAGT